CCACAACACCCATACCATGCATGCTTTCTTTCAACCAAGACTTCGCCCATCTCCCCAAGGCCTTGGGGGTAAAAAAGCGTTTGCCATTTCAGTGATCAGGAACATTCCAAGATGTGGCCATCGACTTCTCCCAAGAAGAATGGGGATTCCTGAACCCTGCTCAGAGAAGACGGTCCACAGCTGTGATGTCGGAAAATTATCAGAACCTGGCCCGGCTAGGTAAGCGCATCGAGCCCTGAGTTCCGCATCTGTTCTCTGGTGTGTCTTCCTCCTTCTGGTGGAATTCTCTGGGCAACTGCTGTGGCCTTTGCCTTATTATTTTTGTTCCATGTCCCATGAAGAGCAGTTAGAAGTGGGCAACTCTCTCATTCTCATCCTTCAGAAAACCTTTAAACTTTGCTCGGCCATATTCATAAGGGCTTTTCTTCCTGATTGCTCTGGTCGCGGGGCTCAGTTCTTGGGTGATAATGGCATGGCCGCTTGCTGTCTCTTTTTCTTTGCTCAGGCACTTCTGTCTCTAAGCCTGATGTAGCTTTCCTGCTGGAGCAAGGGAGACAGCTCTGGGGGATGAGAAGCGGGGACGCAAGACCTCCATGAGCAGATGCGTCAGGGACCAAGCAGAGGGGAGGTGACACGTACACAAGACCAGCTGCTCCGACAGCAGCTTTGGGGTGTTTGGACACCGCCCTTCAGAGGGCCCTTGAGTTCAGCTCCATAGTGGGTCTGGCTTTCATCCTCCTTGATCCCCCTGTGCTCCTCTATCTTCTAGAATAATTCCTTCCAGCCTCCAGATGAAGTGTGTTTCCCCTCCCTCCCTCAATTTATGATCAGCTTCCTACCTTTACTTTCCAGGTGGTTTTTCACCAGCTCACCTTCCTTCTTTCTTTCATTCATTCCTACAGCTGTTCTTTCAAAAACATTCCTCAATGCTTCTGTTTTCATTATCCAAAAAATATTCATGCTGTCCTCTGAGTAATTGAGATTGATTGATTGATTGATTGATTCGACAGAGACACAGCGAGAGAGGGAACACAAGCAGGGGGAGTGGGAGAGGGAGAAGCAGGCTTCCTGCTGAGCAGGGAGCCCAATTCGGGGCTCGATCCCAGGACCTGGGACCATGACCTGAGCCGAAGGCAGACGCTTAACGACTGAGCCACCCAGGCGCCCCTACTCTGAGTAACTGAATAAATGTATCTATCCAAGAGCTATTCCATGAACAAACATATTTGATCTTTAATTCTGGCCACAAGTGGGGGTTTTATTAGAGAGGATAGCCCAATCAAGGAATTTACTGTTTAATAAAGGGAATTACGAGATGTTCTTAAACACCTTGGCAAAGTAGGAGCCAAGGTTACAGAATGTTAAACAGGGTGATGACTGTATAGGCTTTGGAGGGGCCAAGGGTTTGCTCATCAGTGGTAGATGGTCTGGAGGTCTGGCCACTTAACATGTGCTGCTTGCCTGTACCCTCTAGACCTGTTCTCGCCCAATCCTGGATGCACCTCTAACATCTCATGAGAGATTGCTGCTGGTCTCCCCACCTGAGAGCTGGTGGTGTGGACACTACCCAGTTCATCTTGGCAGCCTTGGCCACATACACATAAGCATTTGATGTCTGCCTTAGTCTGTTTGAGCTGCTATAGTAGAAATGCCACAGATTAGGTGGCTTAAACTACAAGCATTTACTTCTCTCTCTTTTTTCAAAGATTTATTTATTTGAGAGAGAGTGCGTGCAGTTGCACAGTGGGGAGGGGCAGTGGGAGAGGGAGAGAGAATCTTTTTTTTTTTTTTTTAAAGATTTTGTTTATTTATTTGACAGAGAGAGGGAGAGGGAGAAGCAGGCTTCCCGCTGAGCAGGGAGCCTGATGTGGGGCTCGATCCCAGGACCATGGGGTCATGACCTGAGCTGAAGGCAGACATTTAACGAATGAGCCACCCAGGCGCCCCGGGAGGGAGAGAATCTTAAGTAGACTCTCTACTAAGCCGGAGCCCAATGCGGGGCTCGATTTCATGACCTGAGATCACGACCTGAGCCAAAACCAAGATTCTGATGCTTAACTGACTGTGCCACCCAGGCGCCTCAACAAGCATTTACTTCTCATGTTTCTGGAGGCTGGGAAGTGCAAGGCACTGGTAGATTCATTGTCTGGTGAGGACCCACCTCCTAGTTCAGACATCCATCTTCTGACTGTGTCCTCACGTGAAGGAAAAAGAGAGTGGATTCTCTGGGGTCTCTTACAAGGGCACTAATCTCATTTATGAGGGATCCGCCCTGATGACCTGATCACCTCCAAAAGGCCCACCTCCAAATACTGTCCCCCATTGAGAGGATTTCAACGTAAGAATTTGTGAGGGAGGGGCGCCTGGGTGGCTGAGTCAGTTAAGTGTCTGCCTTTGCCTCAGGTCATGATCCCAGGGTCCTGGGATCTATGCCTGAGTCAGGCTCCCTGCTCAGCGGGGAGTCTGCCTTTCCCTGTCCATCTGCACAGGAACCCTAAAATCTTCCCTGTGCGCCAGATCCCTGAGTCTTCATAGTGTTTGTCTCCCACCTTCTGGAGCACATGTGTCTTAGCAGGTCATCTGGACTGCTTGCCTCTTTGTGTTGTTCAGTTCTCATGATCATGATGTCATCAACAGTGGACCAATGCAATGTTCTACAGAATGATCAGATAGTCCAGAGTCTTCAGATTATGCTGTGATAGAGAGCAGGAGAATTGACCTCATTGCTGGGCCAAGACCCTTGGATCAGTCTTCTTGGGCTGCCACAATAAAGCTCCCTAGACTAGATGGTATCAGTACTGAGATCAAGGTGTCAGCAGGGTTGGATTCCCCTGAGGCCTCTCTTGGTTTGTAGATGGCCATCACCTTCTTGTGTCTTCCCGTGCTCTTCCCTCTATGTGTGTCAGTGTCGTAATCTCTTCCTAAAAGAATACCAGTCATACTGGATTAGGGCCCATCCTACTGACTTGATTTTATCTCTTTTAAAGGTCCTATCTCAGGTGCCTGGGTGGCTCAGTTGGTTAAGCATCTGCCTTTGGCTCAGGTCATGATCCCAGGGTCCCTGGATCAAGTCCTGTGTCGAGCTCCTTGCTCAGCGGGGAGTCTGCTTCTCCCTTTCCCTCTGCCCCTCCCCCTGCTCCTGCTCTCTCTCTCTCACTCTATCAATTAAATAAATAAAAAACCTTAAAAAAAAGTCCTATCTCCAAATATTTGCCCATCTCTGAAATTTTCTATCACTCATTATCCATACCAATTGGATATGTACTTTCTTGTGGCATCAGTGTCTCGTTGAAATGATTGGATTGGGTGAGTGATGGCTAGTTAAAACATGCAGTAATAAAAATCTTCTAAACTTATAAAAATAAGATGGGTTTATTTTATTAAGTATTCAGTGACATGCTCTGAAGGGAAAGAATTCATTATCTCCTTGCACGTGTTTTCTTTTTTCTTTTTTTTTTCATTTTAATATTTTATTTCATGTTCATAAGTTTTATTATTTTTATTAAGGAGGATTTCCTAAATATATAATCTCCTGGCCCCTCTTAGTCTGGATCTGCCCCTTACAGAATTTATAGTATTCAAGCAGGCTTCCAAGCCTTCACTCATGCTGTTTCTTTTAATTTTTTTATTGTTATGTTAATCACCATACATTACATCATTAGTTTGTGATGTAGTGTTCCATGAAACATTGTTTGGGCATAACACCCAGTGCTCCATGCAGAATGTGCCCTCTTTAATACCCATCACCAGGCTAACCCATCCCCCCACCACCTCCCCTCTAGAACCCTCAGTTTGTTTTTCAGAGTCCATCGTCTCTCATGGTTTGTCTCCCCCTCCGATTTACCCCCCTTCATTCTTCCCCTCCTGCTATCTTCTTCTTCTTTTTTTTTTTAACATATATTGCATTATTTGTTTCAGAAGTACCGATCTGTGATTC